ATGAACATGAATATATATGGTACAGCACTACCAATCGGTGTACAGGGACTCTTGCTGGATCAGTAACGTGAAGTAAGGAAGTCGCTGGGTCTGTGCTGGATGGGGAAAGGAAAGAGGGGAGAAGCTGTACAGTACCAACCTGCACTTGTTCAGCTGGTATTATTAGCCTACTTTTTACAAGCAATAGATTAATCTACGTGTCTCCTGAACAAGGCACAATGAAAAAGCAGCAGAAGTTTTATGGCTTTAGCTGCTGTCACAGCTTCCATCATCTCCAGGCAGCAGCAGCCAGAGATGCTTGAGGATGATGATGTTTTAGGTGTAGGTGTGTGTAATGAAGTACAAAATGCTCTTAGTTGTTGCCTTCAGAAGAGCAGCCAGGAGCAAAGCGGCACTTACACAATATGTGCATGATCAGATGCCAGGGCCCAAAGGGAACTTGGAAACAGTCATCTGAAAGTATTGATGTAATTATTAACTCTTAGGCTTTCTAGTCCTCTTGCCTCTTCATTATAATTTGCCGTTAGTTTGTACAAGCTTCCTCCATACTTCAGTACATGCTTAATGCTTTTTTCAAATATAGGGCCATTCAAGTGAAAACTAGGCCTTACTCTCAAAATCTCTGGAAAAAGCAGCAAGTATCTGAACTTTTGACTGCCAAAAGAAAGGCTGTGTTCACCCCTTCCAGCACTTACAATAGGTGTTTTGGGAAGACATAACTGAATTGAACAGCTCACGTTTTTCTTTTTCCTTTTTAGCTTACAAAGGATGTTAGCAATAACTTACAGGTTTATTTGTTTTTATAGGGACAGCTTCTAGATTTTTTTTTTTCCCCAAGCATCTAAAACCAAAATGCTGTCATAAATCACATCTAACTTGAGAGGGTAGCCCAGCTATTGTCTTGGCCTCATCTACCAAAAAATAACAACGTCGCAATTGGCAAAAGCGAGCGGGGTGGGGAGACCTCAAAACCCATGAAAAGCAGCAATGACAAGACGCGCACTTGGCCAGAAAGCCTCTGGCAGCGCTTCACCTCGCTGGCGATGGGGAAGGTGCCTGTGACAGCAGAGGCAGCAGTCCCCGAAGCAACCGCCTGCTAGAGCTGGGGGATGGACGCTACAGATCTCCCTTTTTTGCTCTTGTGTTTTCCAAAATGGGCCGGGATGGTGAATGACCCATTTTTTTTAACATATTAACACATATAATTTGTAGATAACTTTAGCTGCCATGGTAGCCTGGCAGAGCTATGAAAGTACATGGACATTTGCTTGCTTTCAGCAAGCGGAAGCAGACTTTGTCCCATGTTTGCACACGTGCTGTTGCAGTCGCGCACACAGGCTGAGACCAGGCCCCAGCAAGGAGGGTGTGTACGCAACCAAAGGGATGGTAACATTGATAGGAGCTACTCTACTTCAGTAAGTCTCTTCCATGCCAGAAGGTCTGGGCCATTGTTTTTATAGAGTAAAAAAAAGACATATTTTTAAAAATGTCAGTGGTTATATGCCACACAAAAATAAACAATGGAATAGATGATTCCTTTTCTGCAAACCTGAAATTGGATAACTGCAAGGATATGTAAACCAGCCTACATGCTAGGGGAGCCTAGGCGTTCTAGTTAAGATTTTATTTTATGGAAATGGCTTCTATTCATGGGTTACACTAAGCATCTCATTCAATGCGACTCAACAAAAATGGAATATTTTTATAATTATGATTTCTGAAAAGCCTTTCCACTCCAAATAACTGCTATTTCTATAATCCATTTGGAGAGCACGCATTGGTTTATGCTGTATTGCTCTCCATAAACTCCCAAAACTGCATAAATTGATATCCAAATACTAAGAAAGTTTATTAATGAGCTCAAGTGTGTGGAAGACTTCTAGGCTGTACATGGGGAAGTCTATCATTGTTATTCCAGTATGTGCTGCTGCCAGTTTGGACTGCAAATCACATTCAAAGCGTTATTTCTTATTCAACTGCAAATTCAGTTGAGCAGTGGATTAGGCACCGTATTGATCCTGTTCAGAAGATGCTATGGACTTCAGGATCCATGTGCCATTTCCGAATAAAGAACCCCCGAGTCTCCACACCTTCCCTTACTTTATGTGAGAGGGACCTCTGGTCTTCTACGAGTTGTTGGCAAAGCAGAATACCAACCTCAAAAATAAAAGGGAGGAGGGTGTATGAATATAGACGGCCATTTCCTGTGAATGCAGATGATTTTGTTTCCTACTCGCACCAGTTTTGTTCTGAGATGAGGCTGGCTTCTGCTTGTACTCTTGTCAGTCAGTGCACATAGTTTACGGTACCAACCTGACTTGACTGATGGTGAGGTTTCGTGGTATATCTTACTTCAGTTCACGTATGATTAAATTATATTTCTTCCTGTCTGAGTGAGCACTATGTTGGAATAGATTCCTGCTTAACTCAGAGTTAGGGGAGTGCATGTCAGTATTCCAGTTGTGTGGCTCAGCTCAGTAAAATATCAGTTTTGATGAGGAAAGACAGAAAATTGTAAAAGTAGAGAGGGGGGAAATCAACCATTAACATTATAGCATTTAAAAAAACAGTCTTATATCTATGCAGTAATAGGTTCTAATAACTTGAAAGTGCAATACATAGCTTGGTAAAAACAAATGCATGAAGAAAATTGGAAGAACTTCCCCTCTCCATTCACCCTCCCTTTTTCATTTCAAACAGTGTCTTTTAGTTCTGTCACGATCATCGCAGATGTGTAATTAAATGCAGAATACTTTGCCTGCCATTGAATATTGGGAAGGCACTTCACAGCGAAAGTACTCTTTGCTGCATTGCTCCCAAAAACATACTATCGGTATGTGGCAGACAGTAGCCCTGCTGCTCTTGCATTTTCTGTGCGTTTGTGCTGCAGTTAGCTGGCGTGTAGCTGGGCAGCCAGGGTGCCTGTCTCTGTCACCGACGGTGCTGCCCTCGGGGCGAGGGGCTGCCCTAGAGAGGGCTTTGGCCTTCCCCTGGGGGAAGGCAATGGATGGGGCTGTGGGACACTTCCATGTCACAAAGTGAATTCACAAAGTGCCCTTCACGCGATTATTAATGGACTGAGTAACTGCAAACTTGTGGCTTCCTGGTTATTTGCCATCCACAAGAAAGAAAAGCCTGAGATTAGGGAGAAAAGCAAGTGTGTAGGGGAGAGGAAGAAAGGGAAGAGTGTCCTGAGCATGCTGGAAAACCTGGGAATGGAAGAGGCAATGTTTAGTAGATATGTAAAGTCAAATTGATCAGGTAACTGGGGATATCTTGAGTATCTTTTAAAATGAAAAAATAATCTGCTGTAGATTGCTGAACTCCCTCCATCTCGGGAAAACTTCCGATGACAAGTGAAAGATGCATGAGCAATAATCAAAGTATGATGATGCTAAGGATAAACTTCAACGGTATCCCAAGACAGTGATAAGCCCAGTTATACTTGAGGAAACTAGGGGAAGAAAAGACCCTCTGCAAGAGAACTCTGGTAAACAGAGGACAGAATAGGGATTTATTTATTTATTTTAGTTCTTAAATAGTGTCAAACCTATGGGATAGGAAAAAAAATCCTAACAGAGGTGCCCATTTCTTTAAAGCTATGGAATCGCTTTGACTCAGGTGCTAACTTGCTCCCCTGCCAAAATTTGCACACATAAGCATCTAATTATAGGACACCAAAATCTATATTTAGGTCTCTAAAAACAAGTAACCTGGTTTTGAGAGCCAGTTCCAAAGGAAATTTCTTTAACTCTATAGAAAAGTCAATGAGTGCTGTAACTTAAAACCACTGAAAATTAGGCCACCTTGCAGGACACAAGGCATTTATCTTGTGAGTAATATACCTTGTTTGTGTAGAAGAGGGAAAAGGGAGGACGATGGCAAAAATGATTGGTGTGTATATATATATTTTTTCCTCTCTCCTTTCTCATTGTTCATCCTTCTTCCGTCTGTCTCTAGGCTGCTGTCTCAGACACCACTGGTCTATTCTCTTTTGGTAAGAGAACGGTGGCTTCAAAAACGCAGCAGTTGTGGTCTTGTAACTTTTCCTCCTTGATCCTTAGTAAGCACAACCACACCTACACACACGTGCCCGCACACATCATGTTGTGATATATTTGTATCCTAGCATGGCACAGGTCAGATTCCTATTGAGAGACAAAAGTCGGGGACAGCTGTGCAAGTCGTCCTAAGAACAACTGTGTCATTTTCAGTCAAGCCAAATGTGTGTCTACATATATGTAGATTATATCTATGCATGCACACACGTATACATACATAGTTTCTGGTTCACGTAATCTTGACTGGGGAAAAAAAGTAACATTGAACAAAACCAGTGTTCTGTGGCAACTGTTTCTGATACTGTTCTGCAGGTCCTTTTTGTGAGCTACCATCTCTATCTGAGTACGCTTGTCACAACTTAGTACAATTCAGCCAGTTTCCTCTTTTTCCTTTTTTGCTGCTTTCTGTAACAGTTAGGCAACGCATGAGCATTAGAAGGCTATGTACTGGCTGGGGTAGTTCTTAGCAGCACAAAATTGGTTTTAAGAAGCCACAACGGGGAAATTATACGAGCTTGAAGCCCTAGAGTTTCCATTAAGCTATATTAGCAGTGACTGCGGAGCCAAGGTTAGAGAAGAAGGAGAAAGGAAAAGCAGAATAAGGTCATGCAGTTTGCTCTACCCTTATTGGGGTTTTTTTCGGTCTAGGTTAGACAAGTCAGTGCTCTCTCCCCCTTACCAGGAGCCAATGACAGGTTGGGAAACAGTTTGAAAATGTAATAAATGTGTTTTCCAGTAACTTGTCTTATGTAGGGTCTACAGTTAGAAATTAGCAATAAGACAGTTTCTGCTTATTTCCTCTTAAACTGCTCGGTACCTCAAAGGCAAGCAGTCTTGATTTTATTTCCCTAACGAGAGCAAAGAAAATAAATCTCCTCCCCTTCCTCCCTCCTCTCTGCCATTCAGCTTGTTCCAAGAATAGCAAAAGAAGGTACATACAGGATTCAGGAGAACGGTGAGGAAGAGTTCACCTCCTCGGATACTTTTGTCCAGTTCCTGAGGACCCCCAGGGTATTCCTTGTAAAAAATAGTATGAGTGAAAAGGCCACAGGTCTGTCGAGGGAGTACCTGAGAACAAAGTAACAGTGCCATTGTGACATTAACTTATTTCTGCAAATTTACATTCACTCTAATCCCTCCAGCAACTCAACCCCCAAGAAACTCCAGCCCTTTCTGACTCTATATTCTGATATGTTTGTTTATGGGCTCTCTTGTGCCTTCTCTGCTCTGGTTGTAAGCAAACGTGGTTGTGCAGATGTGGAGCATTCCAGATGCCAGCTGAAAAGCTGCAACGCAGATGTGTCCTGAGCTTTCATCCAGACCGCTTTATTCAGCTCATACAGTAATAATTAAGGGTTTGTTTCCTGGCATGTGGAAGAATGGAGGGGGGAGCCAAACCTCTTTTCCTTTAGCAAGGTTAGTTTATTAAAAGATAAATAGTGCTTCTTGGCCATCTTCACTGTCTCAGGCAATTAATCTTGCCGTTCTTGAGACACCGAACGGAATTTGTATTCAAGGCTATAGACCCTGAAAGAACTGTTGCTTCATACTTTCTTCTATCCTGAAAGTCAAACTGAACCCCTCATTCCTGTCTGAAATATGCACAAGGACTGGCAGGATGCTTGCATGAGACTATCCCAAGGTCAGTTCTGCGTCCCATCATAAATAATGAGACTATATGCCAGAATTCAGTAAGCTAGCAGATGTGGGAAAATACACTTAACTAAAACATCTTGTTCTCAGAGATATATTATTAGCTTTTTACAATTAAAGGGCACGGACACAGTGAGTAAAAAAATTATTGGGGTTTAGGGATATTACCTAATACATGCATGGATACAATTCACCTGGGGAAGGCTTCTGGTTTCCCACCAGTCAGTGCGTTTTCTTTTCTCTTCTACTCAGTTAAATCAACAAATAAAACCTGTATTCAGCAATGCATTTTAATATATGTGTAAATGTACTGCTGAATTTAGGTCTATTCCTGTAGTAATTGGACTCTGTGCTGTAACTTGTTGTTTTTGATTAAGGCATGCTGCTTTTGTCTTGTTTAGGAGATCAAAATTTTGACTTTGTATGCATAGGCAATATTCAAGTCATCTGGAGCTTTTGCATATATCCCAGGACCTGGCCTCAAAAGACTTCTACTGTTTCTTATGCATATTTATTTTTTGCAATTGCCTTTCACCTATCTCAGTCTCATGGTCTGCTCCATTCTACAATTTTTTTTTTTCCTTCCAGTTGTAGTATAGGATTGCAGCCGGCTAGTAAGATGAGCCAAAACTTTGCACGTTTTTCTGGTTGTCTTGTAGTTGAAGTGTGTATGTGAGGAGCTTTCTCTCTTCTTACCCCAATGCATAGCCTGAAACAGTCAGGCATATGTCCAGTCCCTGGTTATGGGAGTTTCAGAAGTGTATCTCAGAAACAAAACTTGGCCCCAGAAAAGTGTCATGCTTGCTGGAGGAGATTACTTACACCTGCTCATCTTCCCAGTTGGTGGATTTCTAATCCTTTCATGCATAAAGATGAACCAGACCTTGAAACATAGGTCTTAGGTAGTTTAATGAATTTCAAAATATGCATTTATAATTAAGTTGATAGTTAATTGGACTACAAATACATTGAGTTTCTGAGCTTTACGGTTGCAGTTGCCAAAATACTTTTTAACTTGACTGCCTAACAAATGCACTCCTTACATACAAATCCTCCATCACAGAATTTTAATAATCGCTCTAAAACTTGAAGCGTTTGGCAAAGATAGCATACTTCTGAGTCACTTGGCAATATTGCTATGAAGTATGGAAATGCAGTGTGTACCATGATGCCATTGTGGATGAAGCCCCGTCTGTACCGTGCAGGCTTCAGGTGTGGGTATTCTTCTGTGCTGGTCACGCGGATGTCCCAGACCTTCTTCCAGGCCTCATACAGCTGCACGTGGACCGGGTAGACCCCCGAGTGGTGTGGAGCCACCGCGTACCCCATGTCCGTTGGTATACCGTGCTCCTGCAACACAGCAAAGAGAGGAATGTGTTTAAGAACAAAAAAAGGTGTAATTATTTGAAAGGTTTTTTCCTTCTACAGACCACTAGGTTTGAGCAGCTGTTGTGCTTGGACAGTCTTGTATCTATTTGTATTTAATAAACAGTAAACGTTAGAGATGAGGGGAGCTGGGGTTACAGCTTGATAACTTGCGGAGTGATAAATATTCCTCTTGGATTACATTGAGTTATTGTTGCACAGAATAATCTGCCTGCCTGCTTGTTTCATACCATGTGTATTTTAATGTATGTCCTATCTGGTTGATTCTTTTTAAAGGTAATCCAGGAAGCTGATTCTTTGTTTAATAAGCTATCAAACAGCATTAGAGGAATAAGCAGAAAGAAAAACTTGTTGCTCTGATATTTGTGGTTTATCCTTTCTTTACTGAAAAAAAGAGCAAAATTCCTTGCTGCTAAATTTTTCTCCTGAAAAGCTTCTGAATCTAATTGTGTTTTCTCACGGCATTAGGATAATAGCAAAAAAGATGGACTTTGACAGACATATTTCCCATTCCATAAACACTTTTTCATTTTCCGTGAGGAAATATATGCATTCTCATGCACATAATCTATACGTTATCTTAAAAATATCTTCTGATATATCTTCTGAACAATAGGGCAGTTATCTGCAGGCAGAAGGAATTAAGAAAAAAGCTTAAATGTGAGTCTGCTGATCTCCTATGCATGTTCCCTTTATTCCTAAAGCTCTCCTGCCTTTGCTCTGTTTCTAATCCCTCCGGTTTCTGACTTAGTGTGGGCTGTCTGAAAACCTCATCTGATGATGAGGTCTGATAACCACATCTCCAGAACAGAGTATTTTTAAAAGTGCAAATTATTTGAAGCATCAGCTATAAATGAGAAAATACGGTAATTAACTTCATTTGCCTGAGTAAATATTCAAAAGTACATCAAACATTTTGTCACCAGCTACTGATGGCAAAAAAAGCTGTATTCTGCCTTTTCTCCTTTACACTGGGACTTGTTTCCCACAGGCAGCACACAGGCCTGTTTGAACTCTGCCATCAGATCTCTGCGTTTTCAGCGTCGCTCTACAGCTGTTGCTGAATCCCTTCCTCCACTGCGGGTATTGACGGAGTTGGTCTTATTCCCAGCGCCACGCGGTGCCCGATGACCGCTTAGCACAGGAGCCACGAGTTGGTCTGTGGCTCCTTCCAAGCAGTCCTGACTAGCAAAGCCCTCATGGCAAACCAGCCAGGCTCCTTGGCTGAAACCCTTAACTCTTAAAAGTGTCACCCCCTTTCCTGCCTCATGAATCACTTAAAGCACTTCCTTCTCCTGCCAAAAGAGCTGCTAATGCTTGGAACACATTAGCCATTTGCTGTTCGTATATAACTGATATTCAGAGGGAAATGGCTCAAATGTAAGGTTTTGGGGGTTTTGGTTTTTTTGTCCTTCCTCCTGCCCATATCATCTAATAACTGTTGATTGCTTTAATTCCAGGAGTAGCAGGTTCTGCTGGGCATCTCCAAGTACTTAACTCTGCATAGAAAGGCTTTTGGTTCATTGACAAAATTAAGTTAAACCTATGGGGAGCCCTTGTTCTTCTATCACATAATACAAGCACTTAAAATTATCTGTCCATATTAGTAAGGATCTTAGGCTACTGGCTGATCTTGAAAAAAGAAAACCCAACCCACTCTTCTGAAAACTTACCGAGAGCAAAATGTGTTTTCTGCTTATTAATGTTGTCACCTACCTGAAAGGCATGAGTCAGTGTAGGGGTGAAAAGATGATTATAGCTGTATAATGAGAAGTGTCAAATCATTTTTTGCTCTAACTTTTCCATGGGCATGTATAAAAGAACAAATTGCATTAAAAGATTTCTGAAATACCTGGGCTTTTACTAATGGGGTAGAACAGTCTGACTCTGAATAACAGTCTGTAGTCTATGATGCTCATACTGTCCAACATACTGTAATATCCTGCCCCTACAGACCTTCATCAAAGCCTGTGTTAGGGTATCTGTCGACATATAAATGTAAAGCTAAGCTAACGAAAACCGCTCTGAATGAAGCGTTAAAGAGTAGGTACCTGGACGAACACATGCAAAATCCCATTTATCTACCTAGTATGTCCTGCTGGTATTGCCACAGCAACAGAATGGTGAAATGGTAATCTACCAGTCACAAATGAAGGCAGCATTTGTAAGTTCTCAATAGAAAAAAGCTAATTGGCCTCTGAATATAAACTGCATGCTATATATTTCCTTGCATAAATACACATCAGATACCCAATATGATTTTAGGAAGAAACAACAACTAACACGTAATCAGATTTTCTTTGGCCAGTTTCATGTTCAATTTACTTCAGTTAAATATCGTATGCCTCTCTTAGCAGTTTCTGTTGCTCTGTTTTTTTCTCTTGTTTTAGTTCTTTAATTTGGAGTTGAGAACTAACATATTAAAGGCACATACATCTGAGTCCAAGAAGGACTTAATCCAAGCTGTTGGGCAATGTGGGACATTCCAGAGCGAGTTATTTTTTATATATTCTAATGGACAATTTGCTACAAAACTCCACCAAATTATTTTTACATTTGAGGCTTCCAGTGATGTTTTCATTGCCAAATTTGTTCAAAAACTCTGTGCATGTGTGTGCATATGGAAAACTGGGACTTTTTGGTGCTGAGAAGAGCAGTGTTATATTCTCTTATGCTCCAGCTGGGATCCCCGAGCCATTAATTCTGGACAGCTTAAATTTGCTTTCCTATTTTACTTGTGCATTCAGAGACTATTCTAATTCTAAGTTAAATGACAACGTAAGCTGAAGCTGCAATAACGTCTGGGCTGGACATTGCACAGTAGTGTCTTTTAATTGGATGTTAAGAGAGAATCACTGCTACAGCCTGGGAGATAGGGGGAAGATGATTAAAACAGTTGCTGTGAATTTTTTGGCAGAAAACTGCCCAGAGGATTTTATCCATGACTGCCTTAAAATGTAAGAGGAAAAAATATATTTAGCAGCTGAATAAATTCATCTAATTTATAAACTAAAAGTATAAGCAGGTAAAACTTTAAGTCAAGCAGGTAATAATCAAGAAAATAACAGAATACAAATATTGTATTTTCCTCTGATATCAAATATGAAATCAATATACAAACATTGTTACAAATAGAATTAGTATTATGCATTATTATAATAAGAAATACCAAATTAACCAAAAGACTGCTATGAGAGTACTTTCTTTAAAGTAAACCTAGACTTTTACATGAAGCTTTGAGAGTTGTCTAGGAGTCCCTGTTTATTCACAGGAGTTCACCCCTCTGTAACTTGACACCTGGCCCTCCTGCTGGAAGTCCAAGGAAGCAGAAGAGAAATGTAGCTACATTATTTCCTCGTGTCTCACAGTTGTGGAGCTGTGCTGTATCTTTATCTACCCTTTCCTGGTAGGTTCAGCTGTGTGAGATGAGATTTCCTTGCATTTATATAGGTAACATGAATATTTTGGGGGTAGAGCAAGCAAAGGCTTTGAGGATGCTCTCTCTAGTCGGTGACTAATCTGTAAAAAGCATCCAAAGAACACTTACGCAGCCTCAGAAGGAAATGGAGAGCAGGTTTAGGATCTACCTTGCTCCCCATGTGCTGATATTTTAACAGATAATAAATTAGCAAAGAAATATAGCAAAGGGCATAAACACATACTCCTACTTGGCAAACTGTGCAGTCCTGTTGTCCCAGCTTCTTGACGGGAGCCAGGTGTGCAGAGGTGGTGCCCACGAAAGTCAGAGTATGCTTTTAAAGGAAATTGCCCCAGCCATCCCTATACTGTTAGTGGTGTGCACTGTTACTGAAGCTCTGAAGGCAGAGGCAATCTGTGGAAGCCGCTTCTCTCTCTCTCAATTATCAGCTTTCTTTAAGCAAGTGAAGATTTGCCTGAAACTCCTAGCCTCTTTTGACTTTCCTCTTTGTACTGAAACGAGCCTTGACACAAACTTATTGGCCGTGAGTCGGCATGTGCTGTCTGTACGTATTCTGCATTTGCATTTACAAAAAAATCTCTGCAGAAAAAAGGACAACTCCGCAGAGCAAGCGCTACTTTCCAGTAACAGGCATATTCTTAAAGAAAGTAAGTTTAGAAATTTGAGTAAAAACTGGAGTGTTTGAAAACTGGCTATTTATATTAGCAGGATGTTGTCTGACAGGCGACCCTGGTTTTTGTTCAAACCAAATATTATAATGTCCTTCTTAAAACAACATGAAAAAGAAAATTAAACAAAAATGAAATACAACTGTGTTATTACACAACTGGTGTTCCGGGTTTTTCAAGATCACTGTTGATCTGCTGCATGTAAACATCTAGTACTGGCCATTATCACAGAAAGGATAAATAAAGCAACCTTTAATTTAGTGAATTCTTACATCTACAGTAGGTCTTTTCACAGTCAGTTAAACCACAGGACTCCCTTTGATGTAAAGATTCAATTAGTTTGTAAAAGTTAACACTGCAGCTGCAGACAAGTTTGCTAAATTTTTGGACTCTCCCGCACAGGATGTTATAGAGTAAATGTACTACTTTTTAAGATGTCACCTTCCAAAATTAGAGTTACATAATCTTTGCATGCTTCTAGTGCTGGGATAAATTTTTAATATTGCTGCAGATGGGTGAGCTTTCCTATTAGAGTTTATATTTTACTATATCTGTTTAATATACCAAGCCAACATTCCTTTTATTTGGTAAATGAATTTGCCACTTTCTTGCTGGTCAGCTCCCATAAAAATGTTGTATTTTATCCTTTACAGATACATTTTTTTTTTGTGCATGAGGTGTACGTTTCTGGATGTTTTTTGTTCAATAGGTATTTCAGACTTAATTACTTTTAGTTCAGTTTTATATTTTTTTACGCTTGTTTAAAAACTCTCTAGCTTGATAAGATGGTTCAGCAAATGAGAGAGGTGACTATCATCACGAGATAGCGTCTACGTTATGTAAAGTTAATTTTTTTT